CCTGATCGCATTAGCAACCAATCATACAAGACCTTAATTTTCAATCAATCCGATCCAATCTAGAAATGAACAGGGCTTATGTCTCTTATGTTGATTCTCTTGACTCCTTAAAGAAGAGGTGGATTTTTGATTTTAGCCAAATAAATTTCAAAATTAAAAAAAAAGCGGATTTAATATCACACCTCCACGTTAAGGAAAAAGCTCAGTCTGCAATTTTTCTTATATATAATTTTATTTTTCCTTTATTTCCCTTAACCGTATTGGTTCTAAATTAAATTTATAAATTCATTTTCTTACCAAATTTTTTTTTTTACGAAATAAGCCTATTATAATCTTATTGTTTTATATATGTCGAGCTTTACTTTTTTTATAAACTTCTTTTTGTTTTTAGTTACGACATTTCTCATGAATTTAACGATCACAATGGATAGCGAACAACAATCCAAGGAAAAACAAAATCAAGCAGCTGTAAGCATATGAATTGAGGCTAGTGTGTAGCATTTAGTATTTTTTGTTCTCCTATAGGAGCAGCAGCAACTGATACCTGCACTGGAGAATGAAACAGTACTGAGTTTATTGTGGAATCATCTTCAGATGGCAAGAAATAGCTATATATTTAGGAAAAATATGAATTAGACAACTAATTATCACCGCTTGTTCTAAAGGTGAATACACATTGTCACATTCAAACAGATTTCACAAGTTTAATATGACTTGGTTTGATGATGACATTATTGTCTCTTAAAAAAAGACATGTTCGTGAAGACTTGAAATCTTCATTAATATATGATAATTGTGATGAAATATAGGAAATAGCAGCTCATCCCTCTACTGGTTCTCAATTTCGTCATGTAAGTTTTTTTTTCTTTTTTAAATCTTGCATTAAAAGCTTTTTTTTGCGAAAAAATCGTATAAATTCTAATATTTTTCGTGTATTTACTATTCAAAAATAATAGATAAGCTTCGTTAACAAAATATGTACTACAAAATGAGGTACCATGTTAACTACATCACAGATCAACTTGCTGAATGAATCATTACAGCGATCAGAAATAAGGAGGATGCAAAATATTAAATCAAACCATATCTGTGGATATTCATCAATTGTTCGATTGAAAACCCCATCCTTCGATTCTCAGGCAAAAGAAAATTTTACATTAAAAGCCATATTATTTGGAACTACACGTGATCAAAATGACGCCTTCTTTAATAAAAGTAACTATTCATAGAATATAATCTTTTATGCTTGTAAAAAAAAATTTTTATTTCTCCTATAATATTTCTCAAGTGTGGTAATATATTCTGGATGAAGTTAATAATAAACTAAATAAAGAATTAAAGTAATTAAATAGTCGGTAGGAGGGGGAATTGATAAAAAAATTTTCTTAATTAGATTCCAATATATTTTTAATAGAATCACAGGTATGTTGAAATCGGAAGATGCAAACAACTCTGGTGGTAGAAATGCTAAGGATCGTACATTCATCCTTATGGAATATGACTATGCAAATTCTTTTGGCTTTCTGAAGTTGGACGTGAAAATTCACACTCCGGGGAAACATGAAGGTACCAAACTTACAGATCATGAACATCACAAATAAATTCATCAAATGATCAAGATCAAGATGGAAGCCATATAAAGGATTAATGATTCAATTCTTGGATCATTTCTTTCTCCTTGCTAAAAATTCTGAGTTTCTTATGGGAATTTATCATACCTATTGTAATGGTATGAAACCATTCAATCACGTTTATACATAGCCTTGAAATCCAATAAACATTTATCAATTTTATTAATTTATGAAGGGTGATAAAGAAGTGCTATTCTTTACCATGCCTGAATATGAAAATGGGAAGTAGATGACCCTAATGCTAAAAATTGGAAGGTCAATATTATAAGGAAATTTTTTTTTATAGATATTTTTATAATAATTGATTTAACTAATGTGATAAATACTCCTGCTTGGTTGACACTTATAATACCAAAGAAGCTAAGCAATATTTAAAAAATTAAAGCGTCATAAAAACCTTTTGCCTATTCAAGAAGAGTTGAATGATCTGGCCTTTAATAAAAAAGAAAGTTGATGATTGCAAGAAACGATTAAGTAAATATGATGTATATATAAAAATGTTTTTACCTATGGTTAATAATGGATTAAGCCGTTGCTAGATTCTGTTCTATATATACTACTTTTGTTTCAAACATTTTGCCTGATAATCTAAGTTTAAAATCTGATATTTTAACTATAGAAAGTTTATTTTCTTCATCTGATTGCATAACTGCTCCTAATGATCTTAGAATTAATTTATTTAATAAAAAAATTAGAATTTTACACAGATGGATCTCATCTTTTTTTACCATCTCTTTTACAAACTTATATCAGTTCTGCTTTTGTTCTGGTTCACGATAATTTAGATATTAGTTTTACTGCTGCTTTGCCTCCTCTTTGGGTTAATTCTACTAACGCTGAAATTTTCGCTTTTCTGATAACCCTTTTTATATGTCCTTTTGATTCCTTTGTTAAAATTAATACAGATAATCTTTCAATGATTCTCTCATATAATTACTTATTATAACATAATGTTTGTTACTATCTATCTTTACTTTTCAAAACTCCTTTTTATATTCATTGATATTTTATATTCAAACTTCTTGAACAAAAACAAATTATATTAACCTTGATTAAAATTAAAGCCTATTCTGAGGATTCTTATAATGATAAAGTAGACAATTTGGCAAAATCTGTTCTTCATAATCCACTTATTTCTTTTTCTTTCTTCAACGTCTCCTATCTTTCTTTCATTTCTATCTTTCAATTAAATCCCATTAACAAAGAAATACGACCCTTTATTAAAGACTTTATTAACTCTAAATCATTTTGTAACTTTTATAATCTTTAATGAAACAATCACTATTAAAACAAGCCTGTAAATTAGCTCTGCATCTTAAATCTCATCAATCATGACTTAAACAACAAAACTTCTTATAAAGAAACTTATTATCACATATGAAGATATTAACTCCTTTTGGAATAACTGCTTACTTTGGAATTTATCAAACTTATTTCACCTGATCTTTATGACTCTACTTGACAATGTTGTTGATGTAATGCTGATGATGAAACTTTCACACATATTTAGACTAGTTTCGAGGTTCATTTCACAATCACAGATATTATCACTAAAAGTATTCATACTCTCAAAGACCAACTTTGCATTCATACCTCTAATTGATAATGGTCATCTGAATTACAACATATTCTCAACTTTTCTTATTTTTACTGATCTTTGACTCCCTTCCTTACCTTTTTCATCTTCACCTTTATCGACTTCATCAAAGGCAATATACCTTCCTAATTTTTTGACTTATTAATAATTTCACCAATTGCCAAAAAAAGATCTTTGTTATCCTGTCCTTTTTTTATGATTTTCTTATAGATCAATCTATTAATTTAATATGAAAATCCAGATGTGCTTTAACTATTGCCAAGGAATTATCCAACAATATAACAAACAAAAAAAAGCGAACGAAATCATGCAACTCTCACAAAATTTCCCCCTTGTATTCTGATCCCACTGATGATAATAATATGAATCATCTAACTCTTTTTTCTAACTTATTTATTCATGGCAGATCCTGATCTCTTTTTAGCGTAATGAAAACTAGTTGTCTCAAACACATTCTCAATTTTGTCATATATTGATCTTTCTTCTCTTTATAGTTGATTTTAAATGTGATGAGACAACCGGTTAGTTTGGTTAGAGTTGGTTTACTCCTTCAAGAAAGACTAAACAGCTTTTACTTTATTTTTCTACTCTTATACCTTCTTGGGATTTTCTTTTTATTTTGTAATTTGAATCTAAATTTTAAATAAATAAAGGCTTCACTACATTTTAAAAAAAAAAAATTTTTAATTTATTTAATATACTTTCTTTTTATATTCTAATAAAGTTATTTGTATAATTACTTTATAATTTGTTATAATCAAAAAGTTAAATTTAAATTATAAATATCTTTTGCAATTATATTGATCAACAAATTATTTTTAATTTTTTTTTATCTATTCAATTACTTCAAAGAGATATTTGAGTATTCTAACCAAAAAAAATTGACTTTTGTCATATAAGTAAAGTTATTCAACAGATTCAAATATATGTGTATATAAATTTATATTATGATTGAATTAATAGTTGTAAAGTTGTAAATGTTTTTCTTGATTGTATTATCTAATGAAATATTTTTTATTTTTTTTTATTCATTTAGTGACTTCAAAGAGCAATTTAAGTATTTTGGTCAAATGAAATCAATTTTAGTCGCATAAGTAAAGTTGTTTAGCAGATTCTAAAATATGTGTATATAAAAATTTTATTATAATTAAATTAATGTTGTAAAGTTATAAATGTTTTCGTAATTATGTTATCTTACAAATATTTTTTATTTTTATTTTTTATCTGTACAATGACTTTAAAGAGCAATTTAAACATTTTGATCAAAGGAAATCAATTTTGGTCACATAAGTAAAGTTGTTCAATGGATTAGTAATCTAAAATAATAAAGTATAAAAATGTTTCATATTTTATTTAAAAAAATATTAAACAAAATTAATTATTGTTTAGTTTTTTATTAATTATATTACTTTTATATTTGAATATAAATATTTTTAAACTAGTAAAACTAAAAAAAAAATTTTTTTTAAATAAGTCAAATCAGGTGGAATGTATATTAATTCAGGTCAATTTTATGTCTAACCTGACCTGTTCAGAGCTCCATATTTTTATAGAATATTTAATGTCAAATGCTAATGATATGTACTAATCTTATAGAAAACCCATGTATACAGCTAATAGTAAAAAAATTTATGGACATCTGATCTCTACATATATATTTCTAGATCCTGCCTTAACATTTTTAACTAACATATATGTATATTAGAAATAGCTACTTTATATTATCTTTTGTTTTATATTGCCACTATTCTTTAGCATTTCTAAAATATTCTTTAAACTTTATTCTTAAAATTAATCAGTATGTCTTTTAAAATTTGGTTTTTTATCTCCTATTAAAATTCTGCAATTTGATTTGATATTTGAATATTCAATTTGAAAATCAAATCAAATACAAATTCAAATTTATATATTTAATTTAATTTGATCAAATTCAAATCAAAAAATAATTTATTTGATCAAATTTAAATTAATATTTGATTCAATTTAATCAAATTTTCAAATATTTTATCTGATTCAAATCAATAATAAAGCCATTATCAAAGTTTTAGAAGTGGCTCTTACTAAGAAAACTATAGTAAAAAGCACATTTACAACTTTGAAAATGCCTTTTTTTATTAAAAAAACTATAGCAAAAAGCACTTTCACAACTTTAGAAATGCCTTTTTTATTAAGAAAACTATAGCAAAAGTAGAGGTATGACTTGAGTTAAAATGAGTTGACTCGAGTCATATTGAGTCAGGATGTTTATGACTCAAAGAGTGTTCGAGTTAAAGTTTGAATTAGCATTCAAGTTAAGCATTCGAGTTGGCCTTCGGGGTTAGTAAATTAAATTTTATTTAATAAATAAATAAGGTCACAATAAATTATATATTATAACATTATTATTTTTGTTATCCCAGTAATTAATCTTTTATTAAAAATTATAACAAAAAAATATCATTACTAAAAAAAAATTGTAAAATTATGTTTCAAAAAAACATAATCTA